TGAACTTAAATATTCTTAACTATTTTAAATATATAGGAGATTTTTACATGAAGGATGGTAAGTGGGTTTTCATTCTTGACAGAAGAAACTAGCAGCAAGGGCACATTCCATCAGGAATAACTAAAATCTAGGAACTGCAACACTGGCCACCATGTGCTTTTAAAATGCTCCTTTTCCTTACAAGTCTCGAAAACAGAAACCAGAAGAGGCTCAACCTAATGACGACAGTGGCGTTAATCCCTCTCTAACACCCCCCCCCTTCTTGCTTGCCTATATATTTCTCTTTATCTGTAAGAATCGAAGAGTAGAAGAGGCTAAGAAACAGGAGAGAAGACATTCCATCCAATGGTCACCTTCAGTGTGGTTAGTGATGACAACAAGCAAAGCCTTTAGGTTATTGTTTTTAGAAACCAGAGTATTTTCAACCCTAAAGTTGGCAAGAAAATGTGCCCCAGGGAAAGATAATACTCAAGAAGCCTGTCCTTAGTGACAAGATGATCTTCAGATCTATCTGCTAATTTGCTAGCATCTGGAAGGAATCAAAAGCCATCTTTGTCTTTTGTTGATCAATAAAAACCGCCAGGGTAGCAGGAACACGAGACTTAAAGGTACTGTAGAGTATAAAATGGAAGCGCGTAAAGGGACATTACCTCCAATTACATGGCAATGTATCTAATCTGGGTATAGATTTTCTACTTGTGAAATAAACAACTTCTTCACAGCGACTGGAGCCCAGCACACAATAGCTGTCTAGAACCCTTTACCCTGCCAGGAGCTTGAGCCAAAGTAGATAAAATAGAGGAAGACGTTTATGGCACATGATTCCATGTCCCAGCAGAGCAGCCTGCTGCCACCCAGACACTCACACGCCTCTATTGTCCACTCTAATAGCTTAATAAAGACAAATCCTCAGGAGGAAAACAGCCACCTGAGAAGAGTTCCAAGAAAAACCTGACTTCATAAAGGCTGCCTGCAACTCCCACTGGGCAGAGTGGAGCAGGCACCACAATTAGGATGTGCATTCAAGCAATGCCACTTGGAGATTTTCTGCAGCCTCTTAGAGTAAGTTCCTTCACTGAAGTGTCAATGAGCCATGAAACCAAGCAAGGAGCTACGGACCAGGACCAGGTCCAGGTCACGTGGGCAGCCGAGGGCCGGAGGGAACGCGTGGCACTGCGGGCCAGGCGGGCGTGGCTGAGCTCCTTCAACACCGAGCTCCCGCCCCCGGGGCGTGTGTTAACAGCTCAGGATACAACCTGGAGATAGTATGGGGAAAATCCAAAGGGAATCTAAAAAGAAACGAGGTAGCCCAGGCCACACCAAAGGAAGGACACAGAAGGTCGCAGGGTAAAAATATGACAGGATACATTTACAATGGAAACGCTAAGGCAAGCAGCTGGAAATGTGTCTAAACTGACACAATGTGCCGTGTAAAACCTAAGAATATATTTTTAATGCTGCTGTAGGTTTAGAAATCTTTTAGTTTTTAAAATTATCTTCCAGTAACAGGTTTTTTTTTTTTTTGGTTACACAATTCAATGAATTTTAACACACACATAGAGAAGCGCAACTACCACCAAAAGCAAGATACTGGACTGTCCCGTTAGCACCCCAAACCCCACTTTGCTATCCCTTTCTGCTCCCACCCTTCCCCGCTCTAGCCCATCAAGCACTGATCTGTTTCTATAGCTGTATTTCTGTCTTCCAGACTGTGGCATAAATGAGACTGGCTTCTTTCACGCACATAACGCCCCTGAGATTCACCTACGCTGCTGTGTACATCGACAGCTGATCTGTTTTTACTGCTGAATAACAAATACAGGCCGACCTGGGAAATGCTGCAGACTCGGTTCCATACCACTGCCATAAAGTACTGAAATCAAGCGTGCTCAGTCATCTCCGACTCTGTGACCCCATGGGCTCCCCGTCCATGGAATTTTCCCAGGCCAGAATACTGGAGTGGGCTGCCATTCCCTTCTCCAGGGGCTCTTCCTGACTCAGGGGTCAGACCTGCATCTCCTGCATTGGCAGGCAGATTCCTTATCACTGGGCCATGTGGCAGATCACAGCCGTTCGTTAGGTTTCCCAGCGAGCATAAAGCTACGCTTACACTATACTTCAGTCTTCTAAGTGTGCAATAGCAATGTGTCTTTAAAAAAAAGTACACACCTTAAAAATACTTTATACTATTAATACAAAGATATAGCAATCAAAACAGTTTTGATTTATATTTATTTGATATTTATATATCAAGACAGATAGATCAAAGGAAAAGGTCAGAAAGCCCAGAAATAAATCCACACACTTATGGCCACTTAATTGATGACAAAGGAGGCAAAAATACACAGTGGAGGAAAGACAGTCTCTTTACTGAAGTGGTGCTGGGAAAACTGGACAGCTGTATGTAAAAGAATGAAATAAGAACATTCTCCAACACCATACAGAAAAATAAAATCTCAAAATGGATTAAATACCTAAATGTTAAGACCAGATACTATAAAACTAGAGGAAAATATAGGCTACTCTTTGACAGAAATCACAGCAATATTTTCTTGGATATATCTCCTAGAGTAATGGAAATAAAAAACAAAAATAAAAAAATGGTACCTAATTAAATTTAAAAGCTTTCCTTTGCATAGCAAAGAAAAACATAAAAAAANGCGATTCCGCTTTTGGGTATGTATCTGAAAACAACAAAAACGCTCAGTTGAAAGGGTACGTGCACCGCAAGGTTTGTAGTAGTGTTATTCACAACAGCCAAGATATGGAAATAGCTCACGCGTCCATCAACAGATGAACGGATAAAGAAGATCCCCTTTTCAGCCATAGAAAGGACAACATGTTTGCCATTTGCAACAACATGGATGGGCTTGGAAGTTATGCTAAGTGAACTAAGTCAGACAGAGAAAGACAAATACTGTATATCACATATGAAGTCTAAAAGATGATACCAAAAAAAAACCAAACGTATTTACAAAACAGAAATGAAGAGGATGGCAGTAAAAAAAAACGCACGGTTACCAAAGGGGAAAGCAGAGGGAGAGATACATTAGGAGTCTGGGATTGACATACACGCACCTATAATGAAGACAGTGAACAACGAGGACCTACTCTATAGCACAGGAAACTATGTTCAGTATCTCATAACAACCTATGATGGAAAAGTATCTGAAAAAGAACTTATATGCATATATGAATAGCTGAGTCACTGCTGTACATCTGAAACTAGTACAATATTGTAAATTACATTAATAAAAAAATTTTCTTCATATAAAGAAACCTTTATTGCTAAAAAAAATGCTAATAACCATCTAACAGCACAGGGTTGCCACAAACATTCAATTATAGAAGAACACAATTATCTATAAAGTGTAGTAGGGTGAAACAGTAAAACAAGGTCTGCCTGTACATTACATGAATGTATCACAGCTCCTTCACCCATTCACCTGCTGGGGGATGTTTGGATTGTTTCCAGTTTTTGAGGACTATGATTAGAACCACTATAAACATTCACATTCAGATTTCTGTATGAACAATTCTTTTGTTTCTCTAGAATGAACATCCAGGAGTCATACTGCTAGGTACTGTGGTGAAGTGTGTCTTCAGTTTCATGTGAAATTGCAGAAATAATTTCCAGAACGGCTGTAGCCCTTGCGTTCCTGCTGACACCATAAGCAACATAAGAGTGCCAGTTGCTCCACGTCGCTGGCATCACTTGCTATGGCTGACACTTTAAATCTGAGATGTTCTAATAGGTCTGCAGATGTATCCCACTAGATATGGTTTTAACCTGCATTTCCCTAATGATGAATGATGTGGACTGTCGTTTCACTCCTAGCTTGTCATCTTTATATCCTTTTTAGCAAAGTGTCTGTTCAATCCTTTGTCCATTTAAAAATTAGGTTTGCTTCCTTTTTGCTGCCTTTTGAGTTCTTCATGTATCATGGATACAAGTCCTTTGTTGGCTATCTAAATTGCAAACACTTTCTCATAGGCTGTGGCTTATTATTAAAACTTCTGTTAATAGTGTATTTTGCAGAAAAAAAATATTTAGTTTTGATTAAATCTGATATATAAATCTTCCCTTTTATGGATCTCACTTTCTGTGTCATGTCTAAGAACTATCTGCCTATGCTGCTGTCCAGAATATTTCCTATGTCTTCTAAAACCTTTACAGTTTTACATTTTAGACCTTAGACCTACAACATATTTTAATTTTGAATATAACATGTGAGATTTAGGTCAGGGCTCTCTGTTTTATTTTTGCATATGGACAGACAACTACTCAGCACCGTTTGTTGAAAAGGTCACTGCTTCTCCGTTGAGTTTCTTTAGCACCTTTGTCAAAGTTCAAAAGGTTGTATGTGTCAGTCTATTTCTGAACACCTTAATTTGTCCCTTTGATCTGTACGCCTATTCCTTCACCAATACTACACTATACTGATTATTGTAGCCTTATTTTAATCTTAAATTTGAGCAATATGATTCCTCATACTTTGGGCTTCTTTTTCAAAACTGCTTTCGCCATCCTAGTTTCTTTTCTCTTCCATATAAATTTCAAACTCAGTCTGTCTGTACCTGCAGTATTTGCAGCACAGCGCTCTGTTTTGTGAGCTCGGCTGGCTCAGTGGCGAAGAATCCACCTGCTAACGCAGGATATCCAGGCGCAGTCCCTGGGTCAGGAAGATCCCCTAGAGGAGGAAATGGCAACCTACTCCAGTATTCTTGCCTGGAAAATCCCATGGACAGGGGAGCCTGGTGGGTGGGCTATAATCCACGGGGTCGCAAAGAGTCAGACAAGATTTAAGGACTGAGTAGGCACACACCCATTCTCCTTTCTGGTAGAGAGGAGAAGAAAGTGCCTGGGATGGGATGTAGACTGTTGGTAAGTAAAGAAGGCACACTCCAGAAATGAAGGGGAGGGCAGTTAAAAAAAAAAAGACAGGATCAAAAAGCAAGAAGACAGATCTTTTCTGAGCTCACTCTTTTTGATTAGGATTCTAGCAGGTAGTGTGGAGCCACATAGGGCCGTGCTGAGCCCCACGGTGTACCGTGAGTTATTAGCGGCAAATGCGGACTCCACAGTCACGAGTGCGGAGCTTCCCAGAGACTGAAGTGGAGAGGCAGTCGCACCGCGGTTTGGCAGTGCTCAGGTCTGGGCAAAATCTTAAATTTGAGCAATATGATTCCTCATACTTTAGGCTTCTTTTTCAAAACGCTTTCACCATCCTAGTTTCTTTTCTCTTCCATATAAATTTCAAACTCAGTCTGTCTGTACCTGCAGTATTTGCAGCACAGCGCTCTGTTTTGTGAGCTTGGCTGGCTCAGTGGCGAAGAATCCACCTGCTAACGCAGGATATCCAGGTGCAGTCCCTGGGTCAGGAAGATCCCCTAGAGGAGGAAATGGCAACCTACTCTAGTATTCTTGCCTGGAAAATCCCATGGACAGGGAAGCCTGGTGGGTGGGCTATAGTCCACGGGGTCGCAAAGAGTCAGACAAGATTTAGGACTGAGTAGGCACACACCCATTCTCCTTTCTGGTAGAGAGGAGAAGAAAGTGCCTGAGATGGGATGTAGACTGTTGGTAAGTAAAGAAGGCACACTCCAGAAATGAAGGGGAGGGCAGTTAAAAAAAAAAGACAGGATCAAAAAGCAAGAAGACAGATCTTTTCTGAGCTCACTCTTTATGATTAGGATTCTAGCAGGTAGTGTGGAGCCGCATAGGGCCGTGCTGAGCCCCACGGTGTGCCGTGAGTTATTAGCAGCAAATGCAGCCTCCGCAGTCACGAGTGCGGAGCTTCCCAGAGACTGAAATGGAGAGGCAGTTGCACCACGGTTTGGCAGTGCTCAGGTCTGGGCAGGGAGAGCATGTGATCAGAGATCGTTTCCCCCCAATAATGAAAGAACGGTAGCTTAATTCCCTTCATTTAGGACACTGAGGACAAAATAATCTGCTTTATAGAATCACCACTGACAAGACACCCAGAGAGCCAATTTTCAAAACCTTACATATAAAATAAAATGCTTTAAGTCTAAAGTAGGATTCAACTAATACTGTTTGCTGACCCAGAAGGAATTTCCAGACCCCAGGGTATCCTTGCATCATCCTTTAGTGCATCAGAACGATTCCGCTTCTTGGGGACTTCCCTGGTGGTCCCGGGGTTAAGCCTCCACCCTTCCACTGCATGAAGTGCATGTTCTTTCCCTCGTCAGGGAGCTAGGAGCCCACACGCCATGTGGCAAGACCAAAAAGTAATAAATAAACAAACAAACATGCTGCGCCTGTACCCCTTCTGGAACCTGAGTTCTGGCTGGAAGGGAGCTCTTTGTGAGTGTGGACCCTTTGCACCCAAGCCTAGGTTCCTTGGGTGGATTAAGTGAGCTGAATTTTGTGAGACACAGATCCCAGATCTCCAAGTTTAAACAGAGGTTTGCTCACCTGACTGTGAATCCAGAGAGCAGGAGGGTGGTTTGTATGTTTCACTGCCAGTTCTATCATTCTCTCTTGTTCCAGCAGTCTAGGGCTGGAGCATATTGAGAACCCACCAACCACAGAGACTCCTGGGATAAAGAAATCAACCCTAAAAGGAAAGGCAAATAAATTGACTATCATTAACGCTTTACAGTGGGTAACAAGATAAACAAAACTGACAAGCTTTTAGCTAGAATGACTAAGAAAAAAGGAGAAAAAATAAAATTACTAAAACCAAGAATGAAAGATGGGATATTATCACCAACTTTACCAAAAAAATAAAAAGGATTATAAAGGAATCCTATGAATAACTGTAAGACAAAAATCTGGCTAACTCAGATGAAATGGATGTGTTCCTAGAAAAACACAAACTGCCAAACTGGACTCTAGAAGAAACAGAAAATCTGAACAGATCCATAATAAATGGACTGAATTAGTGTAATTTAAAAATTTCCCACAAGGATAAGTCCAGATGCAGCAGAGGTGAACTCTGTTAAACATTTGAAGAAGAATTAATGCTTATCTTTCACAAATACTTCCCCCCAAAACAGAAAAAAACACTTTCCAATTCACTCTATCATGTCAGTATTATTCTAACACCAAAGCCAGACAAAGCTATCACAAGAAAATAAACTACACCTCAACATTCCTTATGAATGCAGATGCAAAATCCACAGGAACATTGGTTCAACATATGAAAATCATCAATGAATTAAACCACTTAACACATTAAAAGACAAAATCCATGTGATCATCTCAACAGGTGCAAAAATGGCATTTGACAAAATTCAACACCCTTACCAAATAAACATATGCAACAAACCAGGAATAAATGGTAATTTCCTCAGCCTAATAAAGAAAATTACAAAATATTTAATCATATTTAACCCTGAAAGGCTTAAAATTCCCCACCTAAGAAGAGAAACAAGACAAAAATGTCTGCTCTGACCAATTCTATTAAACACTGTACTAGACATTCAAGCCAAGGCAATTAAGCAAAAAAATGAAATAAGAGGCATCCAGACTGAAGAGAAAGAAGTTGCAGATGACATAATATTATATATAGAAAACCCTAATGAATTTACTATAAATATATAAGAACTAAAAAATAACTTCAAATAAAGTTGCATAATATAAAATTAATAATAAAAACCAACTGTATTTCTACCCACTAGCAATGAACAATCTAAATGTGAAATTAAGAAAAATAGTCCTACTTATAATAAAGTAATAAAATAATTGGGAATAAACTTCACAAAACAAGTGTAAGACTTGTACACTAAAAACTACATTATTAAAAAAATCAAAGTGATCTAAATAAACAGAAAGAGATCTAAATAAACAGAAAGAGATCTGAATAAACAGAAAGAGATCTGAATAAACAGAAAGAAGATCTAAGTAAACAGAAAGAGATCTGAATAAACAGAAAGAGATCTGAATAAACAGACAGAGATCTGAATAAACAGACAGAGATCCCGATAAACAGAAAGAGATCTGAATAAACAGAAAGAGATCTGAATAAACAGACAGAGATCTGAAAAAACAGAAAGGCCTCTTATATTCATGGGCTGGAAGACTTAATACTGGTAAGTCGGCAACAGTTCCCAAACTGATCCACAGATTTAATACAATACCTACCAAACCCTAGCTGGTTTCTTTGATAAGTTGATCACAAACTGATAGGAAATTCAAGGAACCTAGAATCATCAAAATAATCTTTAAAAAGAAGAATAAATTTGGAGGATTCACACCTTCTGATTTCAAAATTATTTTAAATCACAATAATGAAGACACTGTGATACTCGTGTTAGGACAGGCATAGGTATCAATGGCAAAAGACTGAGAATCAAAAAATAAACTTGGTTTATTTTTGGTCAACTGATTTTCAACAAGGCTACCAACACAATTTAATGCAAAAGAAGAGCCTTTTCAGTAAGTGGTGATGGTTTTATAATAATCTATAAAGGAAAAAGAATCTGAAAAGGAGTAATAACACATACACACATATATAAACAAGTCACTTTGCTGTACACCAGAAACTAATACAACACTGAAAATCAACTATACTTCAATTAAAAAAAAAAAGGACAACTAAATACGAACCAGAAAAGAATAAAGCTGGATCCCTACCTCATACCATACACAAACGTTAACTCCAGTTAGACCACAGACCTAATATAAACACTAAGATTATAAACTCAGACTTACACAAGAGTACCTCTTCATGGCCAGTTACTTAGAAACGACACTAAAACACAGAGGTCAAAGAAAAGCTGGAGAAACTAGATTGCATAAAACAAAAAACTCTGTGCCACACACTTATGTGTAATCCACACCATCAGACAGTGAAAAGATGACCCTTGGAATGAAAGAAAATATTTTTGAATCATGTATCTAACAAGTAATTTGTATACAGAATATAGTAATAAAAAGAAAATTCAAAGAATGGGCAAAGGAGGCCTCCCTGGCGGCTCCGTGGTAATGGATCTGCCTGCCGGTGCAGGAGACGTTGGTCTGGGAAGATCCCACAGGCCAAGGAGCAACTAAGCCTGTGTGCCACAACTCTGGGCCTGGGAGCCAGAGCTCCTGAGCCCACACACTCTGGAGCCCGCGCTCCACAACAAGAGAAGCCTCCGCAACGAGAAACGCACGCACCACAACTAGGAGCTCCTGCTCCCCAAAACTAGAGAGAAGTCCACGCAGCAACAAAGCCCCAGCACAGCCAAAAAAATAAATAAAATCACATTTTAAAAGTGGGCAAAGGATTTGGACAAGCACTTCTCCAAAGAAGATACATAAATGGATAATAAGTACATGAGAAAACGCTCAACCTCATCTGTTATTAGGGAAATGTGAATCAAAATCACAATGAACCATCCCGTCACACTCACCTGGACTGATGGCTGATCAAAAAGAGAATGGCAAGTGTTAGGATCGGGAAAAATTGGAACCTTTATACACTGCTTATGGGAATGTAAAATGGCCTTGCTACTTTAAAGAACAATTTGGCAGTGCCAGAAAATGTTAAGATGTGACCAGCAGTTCTACTCTGAGGTATATGCTAAAGAAAAAAGAAAACATGTATCCACTTAAAAATAGGTACATGAATGTTCACAGCAGCATTATTGCTAACAGCCTAAAGTTCCAAAACAACCTAAATGTTCACCAACTGATGAATATGGAAACAAAGGCGGTACATTCACAGAATGAAAAACTGATACATGTCACACACAGACGCGTTAAGTGAAAGAAGTGAAGTCGCTCAGTCGTGTCCGACTCTGCGACCCCATGGACTGTAGCCTGCCAGGCTCCTCTGTCCGTGGGATTTTCCAGGCAAGAGTACTGGAGTGGGGCGCCATTTGCTTCTCCAGGAGATCTTCCCCAGCCAGGGACTGAACCAGGTCTCCGCGCTGCAGGCAGACTCCACCGCCTGAGCCAGCAGGGAAGTCAAGGAAGTGAAAGAAGCTGGTCACAAAACAGACGCACACTCCATAGTTCCACTGACACACAGTGTCCAGAATAGGAAAGCCATAGAAGACAGAAACCAGAACAGTGGCTGCCTAAGGGTGAGGAGGGGGGCGAAAGATATTCAGGGCAGTGCTTCTTTCTGGGATGATGAGAATGTTCTGAAAGTTGACTGGCTGATCACTATACAATTCTAGAATACATTGTGAATTCAATTATGTGAATATACTAGAAATCACTGAACTGTACCCTTTAAATGGGTGAATTTTATGATACATTTATCTTGATAAAACAGTTTCTTAAATGTGAAAAAGAAGGCAACAAAAACTCTTTTGCTGGCATTTGACCAACTCAATTAAATAGGTGATGCAGCCTCCTAAATTCTGACAATCTCAATTTGCCTTCTTCACTTCTAAGCATTCTCCTAGAGTGGAGAACTCAAGTGAGTTTCAAGCCATCAATAATTGCAGGCCACAAACTTTTTATTGGGTGAGGGTGCTAGGAAATGCAATAAATCAAGTCACATACCAAGGAAAGAGAAATCTACTAGAAACTGAGAACCACAGGGACCTCCCACCCCCACATCCAGGAAACTCATGTACCCATCAGGGCTGCTCCTCAGCCAGCGAAGAACAGACAGTATAATAAAAAAGGCAACAGTCTCATGCCCCGCCCCTGGGAGGAAAAAGCACTTGATGTCCTCTCCTAATCTGATCTATGGCCTTAGAAACTGTTCTCTTCTCAACTCTGGCCTTAGGTATCTGGTCATTTTTTATAGCCTTAGAAAACAAGTTCTGGGCAGGAAGTGCTCCAGAAAAGGTCCCCAGGTTATTTCTGCCTGTATTTACTTCCTTCTTTCCCATGAACACTTTAATTTCCTTTCCATTTCAGACAACATACAAATTTTAAAAGACTATAGTTAACACTTACTAACACTGCTGCTATATGCTTTCAGAGAAGAGGTGAATGGCATTTCCAAAGGGTCTGTGTTTAAAAAAATTAATCTCTGAGCTATTTTTTGCTGCTTTATTTCCTGAACTATAGCACCCTCTGCTGCTTGATGATGATACAGACCTTTTTCTCAGGTAACTGACAGGGAATCCGTCTTCTCCAGTAACTCTGGAAACCCTCCACCTTTAGGAAAAAGGACTCCTTCACGAAATGCTACAGAAGAACCTCATCTGAATAGGCTTAAGAAAAGATGCACAATACATATTTAGTAAAACATCTTTCCAAGAAAGAAAAAGTTTTGGACACACACACACACACCCTGTTAAAAATGATGTCCTTCACAGTGAGTACATGAAGAGCAGAGAGAAAGGGCCTCGTTCTGCAGCAAAGCATGCATATCCACGTCTAAGGTGACACCTGGCAGCCCTGTCCCGCCCCAGGGCCCAGCACACAGCAGGCACACGAGCCACAGCCCAGTGACCATGCTTCACCCTGAGATCCCAGCTCTCAGCTGCCCGGCTCCGCACACACGACGGACAGCATCTGCTGACCATGTACAGGCACGGAGGCTGGTGCTGGCGGTAAAGATTTAAGTCTGTCTTGGTTCCCGCCCTCACAAACCTCCCTAACGGGAGGAAGATTAACCTGAGGGCTCAGCAGGGAAAGAATCTGCCTGAAATAAAGGCGACACAAGAGACTCCTTGGGTCTGAACCGATTCCTGGGTCGGGAAGACCCTCTGGAGGAGGAAATGGCAACCCACTCCAGTGTTCCTGCCCAGAGGATGCCACAGACAGAGGAGCCTGGTGGGCCACAGTTCAAAGGGTCGCGGAGAGTCAGCCACGACTGCGCACTAATATAGTCAGGAAAGCAGCAGCAGGGCTGTGAAAACATCAGCTTGGGGAGAACGTTCCTCACCTGAGATGGGCCTGCCAAGTGCCACACTTAGTGCAGGTTTCTACTTAGCTCCAACATGTGTGATCCCAACTGTATCAGGAAAATACTAATAAAGCTACTGCATTTTCTTTTTTTTTAAAATCTGCTTGGGGGTGGAAAGGACATGGGGAGGAGAGGAAAAATAAGTTAATTCCACCAGGGATGGAGGAATCAGGAAAGACTTCACAGAGGAGTCTTGAAAGACAGTGCTCATCAGACAGGCAGCGGAGGGGGACACCGTCTGCAGAAAGACTCCCAGGAACGCGGCACCTCCCCCACGGGGTCCTGTGAGTCGGCCGATGCCGTAGTGCTCACGTCTGCAGCGCAGCGGCCCTGCTGGCAGGCGGGGCAGAGTCCCAGCTCTCTAACCTGGCTCCTCTCACCTCACTACCCCGAGCACTTTCAAGCATGAAACCCTGCTATCTCGTATGAAGTCAGAGACACAGCTTCCCCACTCAGAAACGCGCTGCCTGCTCCCCGGTGTGCTGTGCACACAGCCCGGGCGTGCGGCGAGCAGCGGCGGCGTGCGCCCGCCCACTCCTCACAGGCCGGCTGCTCTCCCCACGGTGGCCTCGGTGCCGGGGAGGCCAGCGAGGCGCTCAGCCTGTCCCCGGGACCTCACGGATCTCCTCAGAGGACCTCACCAGCACAGGTGCTCTCTGGCGGCCTAGCAAAGCACTGGCCACAACAGACACCAAAAACATGCACAAAGGAAACATCAGGCACCGTGCCAAATGCCTGACATCCTCCAGCACCGACGTGTTACTCTCCCCTCCTCGAGGACCTGGAAACCGAAGCCCAGAGCAAAAAGGAAGCCCCCACCTCGCAGAGCCAGCAGGTGGGCAGGGAGAGCGGCAGGTGGGAAGGCAGAGCGGCAGACTGGGCCGCGTGACACAGCCCCTGGGACGGACGGACCCACCCACAGCACCGGCACCGCTGAACCTGGCAGCCCCGCGCACTCTTGGGCGAGGGGAGACCGCTGGGGCCACGCCCAGCTCCATCCTTCCCCTCCTCTGTCCGGGGAGCGCCGAGCGAGGGCCAGCGCAGGACCCCCCAGGGAACTGCGTGCTAAGCCATGAGCTCCTGGTGGGAGAAGCCCCGAAGGGTCAGCCCTGCTCGTGCGGGAAACAGGTCAGAAGGAATTCTCCCTTTCAGCCTTTCTCTCTGGATGGGATGGCGTGAGCTCTGACAGCGGTCTCCCAGTACAGGAAGCAGTCTCCTCCAGAGGGTCAGGAAGAACGCACCGCAGCAGCGAACAGCCCCGGGAGACCATCCTGGTCCAGGCTGGAGTGTCCACCCGGGGGTCGGGGCCCAAGGCCGCAGAGCATACACTCAGAGGTGGCTTCGCACCTCCCCTCGGAGTCTGGCAGGCGTCAGCGGGGCCACCGCTCACGAGTCCAGGGACATGGGTCGTGGATCATGGCCCAGCGGGCGCCCTGCCCTTCGCCTCCAGCTGCTCTCACTCCGATCACCCTGACCCCGCAAGCGCACAGCAGCCACATCCACTCTCCCTCCCGCCCCACCGAGTGCCACGTGGGGTGAGGGCCGAGAGGGCCATCCCGGCGACAGGGCCAACAGAGCGGTGCCCACCACCTCACACAGACAGAGGGCTCACAGTGTCCAGAGCCGTGCGGAGAGGCGGTGTTAAGGCAGCAGCCTTTTACAGAAGTGGTCCGGGCGCCAGGCACGAGTGACAGACTCGCCTGGCAGGGAACATGGACCAGCTGGGGCTGACCCCCGCCCCACGCCGGCCCTCTGCCCAGCGCGCACTGAACCAGCGCCCACACGGACGGGCTAACCAGACCCATTCAGTGACACCACCTATGCGCCACCCGCCCTGAGGAGTCTCCCACCGAGGCGCACGGGGAGACCCTAATCTGTGCACAGCGCGAGGCAATGCCGTTTTCTTAGGAGATAACTACAGTTTGCACGTGCTGCCATACTCACACGCGCACCGCGGGAGCAGCAGGACAACCCAGGCACAGGCTTGCTCTAATCGGGACACCGGGGTCAGCGTCGGCACCATTCCAAGCGGAAGGCACACAGAGAACGCTGCACACAGAACACAGACACCTCCCCGGAAGGGAAGCGCTGGAAGACAGAGCCTCGTAATTGAAGTTTGCACTTTTCAAGGCAATAACTGCTAAACTAGTTTTGAAGGGTAAAAACGTTGCCAACTGCCCCCACCCTCAAAACAGCCCAAATGCACTTAATATGTATCACCGAACATGTGCAAAGATTGCAGTAAATTGCTTCACAAGCGCAAATTATTGCAATCAGCATCTTGTTTTCTGGTTCTATATTCAAAGCAAACTATTAACACAAGCCTGCTAACTCTTGCTATTATCACACATCCTCCTCCTAACAAAACCACATTTCCAGATGGACTGCCAAAATTAGTCAAGTAGCTCCTAAGAAAGACGACCAAGATTGACATGCCAGAAACTCATTTAGAAATGAATGCTGGATTTAAATAAAGGAAACAGACACCCAAACACACCTTTCCTAAGGAAATGCGGGTTGCGTTTACGATCCAACTTCCAGAGCCGCTCAGTGAGGCCCTTCGCGGGAACACTGGGACAGCTGGGCTGCTCCCATCAGCACAATGACCAGCCCTCGGTCATGAGTCATGTGATGCGGGCTGGGTCCGATTGGGGGGATGTTCTGATAACAAATTAAGCAAGATATTTCAACTCAACCCAGACAAGGTGCGAGGGCTGCAGAATTCAGGCAAGACGGCGGACACTTCTGTGAGGAGACTGGTTGTCATAACCAGTTTCAGACTCATGCATTTACTAGGCATTTGACATAAAGGCTGATTTTTTTAAAATGTATCCACCCACAACGACACGTAAGTGAAGCAGAGGGGACGACTGCAGCGCATTCTGTCGGCAGTCAGTCCTGCAGAAGAGAATCTCTGTCAGAGTTACAGGGTCCAGACTACAACTAGCCGCTCTGTCTCCCTCTGGAAAACTCAAGGAAGCAACTTTCAACTACACTGAGAGGCTCCAAGGCTCAGAACCAAGGCGGGCCCTGAGGCTAGGAAAGGAATCAGGTTCTCCATGCCAGGAAGAGTATCAGGCTGAAGGGAGACGCCCTAGAATTCTTCTTCCCCAGGAGAAAAAGTAGTCACAGAAGTCCTTTCTAGAAGGAAAAAGCAGCTCTGGCGTCTGATGGCACCTTGACCACTCACGCTGAGGACACAGAAGAGCCACTTACCACTGGCCGGCCTTAAAAGAAAAGTCTTTATCGGCAACGAGCAGGCGGAGCCTCTTCACCGAAGGGGACTCGCTGGCCACTCCACACACCTTGGCTGCGGAAACGACCTGGAAACAAAAAGACGAGGCTGACTGAGGTTAGGGGCGCTCAACTCAGAAACAAAGTGGCTTTCTAGTAACTACATTTTTTTTTAATCTACAAAGATGTGGTTTTCAAAAATTGCAAAACAAGGTAAAGCATACTTTGCTTCAGAATTCTGCCTATCCCCAGATGAACGAATTTCAACTACTTTGGGAGACTTGCTATCCTACTCATTGAATTTTATTCTGCATATAAAAACTGTCTCTTAAGGGGACTGTTTAACAGGCGTGTATTTGCTGAGTGTGCAGCGTGTGCCAGCACCGGGCTGGGGGCTCTGGAAAGAGCATCCCCCACCCCCCAGCCCGTGAGGCCCTGCCTGCCACCCGACTGCTCTGGGGCAAGCACGTTAATGAGCGCCACGGTCAGCCGCAAGCCTGTGTTTGTTCTGAGCCTGCCAAAGTCCAAGTCAAGCTGACTTCAGAAATGAAAAGCAAACACTTAGAAACTTTTTGTTTAGCAATTTCAAAGAGTAAACTGTGTTTCTGTTGACTCTGACAACAGACAACAAATTGGATGTGTACTCCCTGTGTCTTTGCTGTGTCCAGTTCATTTTTATTGTATTTTACAAGATATAAACAGTTCACAACCTTCAAACAGCAACAAAAACAGACTTTTGCTACAGGTCGCTGGAGAAGCACTGTTTTAAATGACGTGTCTGGTTTTCAGAAAATTCTAAACAGGCCTGAGTCAGGCCCTCTTCAGTTCAGTGTCATCCATACCCCACATTCCTCAAGCTCCACTTGGTTCTACTTCCGACATTCCTCGTTTCTTCCGTCTTTGGGTCTCTTCTCCTCCTCCCAGAGCTGGGAAGAAGGGAGACGCCCTAGAATTCTTCTTCCCCAGGAGAAAAAGTAGTCACAGAAGTCCTTTCTAGAAGGAAAAAGCAGCTCTGGCGTCTGATGGCACCTTGACCACTCACGCTGAGGACACAGAAGAGCCACTTACCACTGGCCGGCCTTAAAAGAAAAGTCTTTATCGGCAACGAGCAGGCGGAGCCTCTTCACCGAAGGGGACTCGCTGGCCACTCCACACACCTTGGCTGCGGAAACGACCTGGAAACAAAAAGACGAGGCTGACTGAGGTTAGGGGCGCTCAACTCAGAAACAAAGTGGCTTTCTAGTAACTACATTTTTTTTTAATCTACAAAGATGTGGTTTTCAAAAATTGCAAAACAAGGTAAAGCATACTTTGCTTCAGAATTCTGCCTATCCCCAGATGAACGAATTTCAACTACTTTGGGAGACTTGCTATCCTACTCACTGAATTTTATTCTGCATATAAAAACTGTCTCTTAAGGGGACTGTTTAACAGGCGTGTATTTGCTGAGTGTGCAGCATGTGCCAGCACCGGGCTGGGGGCTCTGGAAAGAGCATCCCCCACACCCCAGCCCGTGAGGCCCTGCCTGCCACCTGACTGCTCTGGGGCAAGCACGTTAATGAGCGCCACGGTCAGCCGCAAGCCTGTGTTTGTTCTGAGCCTGCCAAAGTCCAAGTCAAGCTGACTTCAGAAATGAAAAGCAAACACTTAGAAACTTTTTGTTTAGCAATTTCAAAGAGTAAACTGTGTTTCTGTTGACTCTGACAACAGACAACAAATTGGATGTGTACTCCCTGTGTCTTTGCTGTGTCCAGTTCATTTTTATTGTATTTTACAAGATATAAACAGTTCACAACCTTCAAACAGCAACAAAAACAGACTTTTGCTACAGGTCGCTGGAGAAGCACTGTTTTAAATGACGTGTCTGGTTTTCAGAAAATTCTAAACAGGCCTGAGTCAGGCCCTCTTCAGTTCAGTGTCATCCATACCCCACATTCCTCAAGCTCCACTTGGTTCTACTTCCGACATTCCTCGTTTCTTCCGTCTTTGGGTCTCTTCTCCTCCTCCCAGAGCTGGGAGTTTTTCACCACAGCAGAGAGAAGACAGTAAGACTCTCCCCGCCTCCTAAGATTGCCGCTCCACTTCTGGCAGCAAATCCCATCGGCAGCAGGTGTCCAAACACAGCCTTTCTGCCTGTATTACCTTCTCAGCTCCACCAGGGGGTGCCCTGGGGCTCTGTCAAGGTCAGGGGGCCGCCCCTGCTAATGTGAGCCTGTTTCAGTTCAGTCGCTCAGTTGTGTCCGACTCTTTGCCACCCCGTGAACCGCAGCCCGCCAGGCCTCCCTGTCCATCACCAACTCCCGGAGCTTACTCAAACTCATGTCCATCGAGTTGGTGATGCCATCCAGCCATCTCATCCTCTCTCGTCCCCTTCTCCTGCCCTCCATCTTTCCCAGCATCAGGGTCTTTTCTAATGAGTCCACTCTTCACATCAGGTGGCCAAAGTATTGCAGCTTCAGCTTCAGCATCAGTCCCTCCAATGAACGTGAGCTCATCCAGCCCCTTTTCTCCAGGAGGACCAAGTCTAGTCAAACAAGCAGTGGGAGACAATTCCTAAAATCCCACAGCAAAGCTCTCCAGACGCTGGTGATCGCCCTCACTGCAAAACACCTCTGAAAACGTGCTGGCCCTCTCGCACTCCTGTAAGATCCCTGCCACTGAGGGCCTTTCTCAGCACTCACCGGCCCTCTCTCGTCTCCCCGAGAGCAAGCGGGTAGCTCTGCCCTGGGGAGCCCCCACCTGTGCCTCTGTGATCCCAGTCCCCACCACCCTGCCTGGAACGCTGCCTCACTCAGCTCCCACCAGCCTTCCCCACACCCAGCCTGCCCCCCAGACCCCCGATTCATCAGACATGATGCCCGATGCCAACGGCCGGCCCGTAACAATTCAGCCAACATGAGGAAGCAGCAGAGGATGGCTGTCTGCAGCACGGGTCCCACAGCCACAGTGCAGGCTACCGCAGCCTGGCTCCACCACGGACCCGCGGTGTGAGCCCAGCCCCTCAGCCTGGTGAGAGGAACAGCGTTCGCCCCTCACAGAGCTGGTGGGAGGCCTCAACATGCAGCTCATGCAGAGCCTGTGTGAGTAGCACTGTAAGTGCTCAGTAAGTGCTCAGTAAGCGTTTCCTGTATCTTACTACACTAATGGTAACAAGCCTACCAGTATGTATCTGTTATCACAAGGCAATCTTACACTTGATCCGTGCATCACTGCACAGGTCACGTCATTGCTGCCGCCACACAGGGCCTCAAAGACGGAGCACCCAAACCCAGGGGGCGGTTCTCACGGACAGCATGGTGGTCTTGGACCCACAGCCTACACGTTATTTTGCTAGAACCAACTTAAAGCCATACTGTCTTTATTTTAGAAATCCAGCTTTTAACCCCGGAATCTACCGATACTCTCACCCAAGAGAACCTTCCCTGCCCCCGAGATGCTCTCAGTACGATCACCTGGCTGCTGCCCTCCTGTGACCTCCCCCTCCCGTGACCTCCCCCTCCCGTGACATTCCCCCCTCCCATGACTTCCCCCCTCCCATGACTTGCCCCAGGGCTGGTGGGCATCTTCTCCAACAACCAAACTCAACACGCAGCCTCAGTTCTCAGCCTCCCTGATGTCTCTGAATCGGATGCTGCCAACTTCCTCTCCACATCCTGAGGCCTCCTCCTTGCCTGGGACATGGGACACTGAACTCCCCCGATCCCCCCCGCCTCCCTGACCTGGTCCCCCTGCCCCTTCTTTGCTCCTCTTCCCACTCCTCACCAGGAGCCTCACCCCGACTTGCTCTCCACCTTGGGGCCAAGGCCCTCAAGCACTCCCAAAGCTACTGTCCCTTCACCCCAACTCAGCATTCCTTTTCTGCCAACTGCCAGCTCACAGCTACACTCTCTGTGACAACAGCCAACATCTGAGGGGCATCTAGCACAGGTGCACTCCAGGTTCTGGGGTAGATGTTAACAGACCTTAATTCACTCAGCTAATACGAATAACCATATTCCACCCCAAGAGACAGGACTGTTACCCTCCACTGTGCAGAAAAGGAAACAGAAAGGTTCAGTAACGTGCTCACGATCACTCGGGCATGGCTGAGTCCAGAGTCACACCAGGCCTGCCTGGCCCTTGACCGCCTGAGAGCTCTGTCCTGACAGCAAAGTCACTGACACGCACGACTACACCCGCCACACCCCTTCCTTCCACATCCCTCCTGGAGCTTGGGGACCGGCCCCGGCGGGGCCGAGGAGGAGAAGGCTGCACCTCCCCCCCAGGGGGCGGCAGAAGCAGCCGCCTCCCGCCGCCAGGGCTTCCGTTCTGGGCCCACTCAGGACTCAGCACGCCAACCCCACACCAGGCACAGGCACACACAGTCCAGCTCATCCCTGACGCTGGAGCCAGCTCTATGAGCTCCCCTCATGCCACCTCCCCCCCTCGCTCACCCACCACCACCCTGAGCCACGAGCCCCATTCTTCTCGCCTGAATTTCCACCTCGGCCTTCCTCTTATCACCCTCAAAACAGCCAATAGGCTGTTGGACCTTGGTGGGTCACTCTCCCGCTCCAAACTCCCAAGGGCTCCCTAACACTCAACTGCAAATGGAATGCGAAGAGGCCTGGGCAACGCCCACCAGCCCAACCAGACAGCCTGCCAGCCCTCAAGGGCACCTGACACCTGCCTACCTTTCAAAGCCCTGTTGAGGGCATGGGGGGCCCTCAGTCCTGTCTGACACCCTCCCACCCACAGCCCGGGAGCTGCACGGGTCCCCCCTCCACTCTCCAGCCTCTCAACCTAACTTAGCATTTTATGTAAATAGAAATATTCATGAACACATCTTTTCCACACGCAGACCGCAAGCCTCCTGTAGGCAGGAAGAGATAGAATGGACATCTAGATCAACTCCCTACCTTAAGCACAGGGCTAAACACACAGTTAAGATTCAGTCAATATTTGCAGAATGGATCAAAACTCTTAGTTCAGTTCAGTCGCTGTCATGTCCGACTCTTTGCGACCCCATGAATCGCAGCACGCCAGGCCTCCCTGTCCATCACCAACTCCCAGAGTCTACCCAAACCCATGTCCATCGAATCGGTGATGCCATCCAGCCATCTCATCCTCTGTCATCCCCTTCTCTTCCTGCCCTCAATCCTTCCCAGCATCAGGGCCTTTTCTAATGAGTCAACTCTTCACAGGAGGTGGCCAAAGTATTGGAGTTTCAGCTTCAACATCAGTCCTTCCAATGAACACCCAGGACTGATCTCCTTTAGGATGGACTGGTTGGATCTCCTTGCAGTCCAAGGGACTCTCAAGAGTCTTCTCCAACACCACAGTTCAAAAGCATCAGTTCTTTGGCGCTCAGCTTTCTTCACCGTCCAACTCTCACATCCATACATGACCACTGGAAAAACCATAGCCTTGACTAGACGGACCTTTGTTGGCAAACTAATGTCTCTACTTTTAAATATGCTGTCTAGGTTGGTCATAACTTTCCTTCCAAGGAGTAAGCGTCTTTTAATTTCATGGCTGCAATCAGTGACCTAAAACTGGTTTCTAAAACAAAGGTTAGTAGAAATTCAGGAGTTTTTATGGTCAAAACAGAAAGAAAGAAAGGAGATGGGAGACCATTAAAGAAAGCCTGGCCTAGTTCATATTCAAAACATAGAAGATGGCATGGAAGACAGGGACTTTTTTCGTGGGATAGGACTCTACTCACATACTCTAGTCACATACTCTAAACATCTTATTACAAAGACAAGTAACAACGATCATCAGGGGACTCTCCGTTACATTAATATTCTCAATTTTTTTTTAAGGTTTACAAAAAAGAAACATTTGTTTTCATTTTTTTCTTTCAGTATAATAATCCGTGAAAACACAGCCAAAAACTCGATTATGTCACCGTAACAGTTAAATGGGCTTCTGTCAGATTCACTAAAATCTAGGTAAGTGCAAGCTTTAAACACATCCCAAAGAGTCACCTGGTGGCAGGGAAGTGACATTCATAGTCATGGGGGTGGAGGCGATGGGGGAAAGTGCAGAGAACTGAGCTGAAACGCAAACTTGCTCAGTCAGCAAACGCTAGACCATGTAAAATACCATCAACAACCGTCTGCCAAAGTCCAAATAAAGAATTCAATGAAGAAGAGAAAGAAGTTACACCTCCTATTGAAAAGGTCCACTTTTC